TGAGGAGTTTACAAATTGAAGCCTTCAAATGCATTTTCCATTCACCTTTCGCAGAACCAACTGAACATAGAACATAGAAATTCATATTATCATCAAACAAGGCAGCTCAATAATCTGTTGAAAAGTCTCAAATCTGCCTTTTCCAGAAACTTTTCGTTCAACAAAGGAATTATTGCATAATATCTAATGAATAACCAAATGACGGTGAATAATTTTCCAACACAGAAAAATACGAAACAGCATTGAAGACCCTTTTGTTTTATCGATTTGAACTATCATATTTGTTTTGTTTTTTTTTGTTATCAATTAGAAAAATTCTAAAATAGCTTTATTTGAAGTAATAAATGAATTGTTTTCGAATAAATAATTTCCTGTATTGCCATGGTAGTTTTTTCGAAATGAAATGAATGTTTATCATCAATAATGAATAAAACAATCGAATGTAAATACGTATATTTTATTGCAATAAATACATATACCAAAATTCTTACTGATAATTCATAAATAGCTCTTCAACATTAAATAACAAAAAGTGAGTTTTTACAAGGAACCGTGAAACAATATACAAGCAATCTACTTTCACTAATCTTATGATGAATATACATTTTTTGCTAATAGTTCTTAAGTATGGTAACAGAAAACTGACGAAAGTGTACTTCCAAAGACAGTTAAATACTTGTGAGAACCTATGAAACTGGAACCTATGGCGAAGAATAAATCCAAAACTGTTGTGGAGCTATCTGTTTTGCTCAACCTTTCAACCTTAATCGTCAAGTAAATTGTGGTTTGTCAAAATCTTCTACAAGTGGAATTTTTCAAAAACTGATCCATTTTAGACACTATGTATACGGAGGGATTGTTAAAATAATTTTGTGATTGAGTTTCGTATGGAAGTTTCTGTCTTTTTTCAATTTCTGATTTCCAAATCTTCCAACTAGAAGTCTCAAACAATATATGAAAACTAAAAACTGTTTTGTTTTGAATGTCGTCAGCTTTCAGTTTCCAAATATACACTAGTGGACCGCATGTTCATAACAGATGTGACACTTAATGAGATATGATCTGTGTTTATGAATCAACAAAATATACGTGATGCTGGAATCCGATAGCGCTGAGTCCTTTTTTGATGTGACTAGACTCGTCATAATATAAATGTCGGAAGAGCTCAACTTTTTATGATTTAGTTTCATGTGTTGAGTGTCGAAAGTGCAATCTACCCTTAAGGTTTAAAAAACAACGAATACGCTACGGTTGGATCTACGGAATGATAAAAATATACACAATAATCAACTTTCGTTCACCTCAGTATCACAGTTTGTATTTTTCATTCATTAAGGAAATATTTCGTTTTCTCATTGCTAGTCAAATATAGTGCAAATGAAACAAAAAATAGAGAGAACAATATGTAAATGAGACATATATCATAATAATGTTCACTGTTGGCTAACAGGTATTTGATTTTTCAACGAATAAGTGCATTTTTAGGTAGGAAAAGAGAACTATGAAATTGGTAAATAAAAAAAGAAACGATAAAGAGAAGTAACTAGATAATATACTCCAAAGAAGTGTACATTAGTGAAAGTACAGAAGGAAACGAGCTGGAAAGGACTGACAAGAAGGGAAAATGAAGAAAAGTACAGAAACAATTAAAAGAAGAAGAGGCAAACTCTAGCAAATTCTTCAATGCTACTTTGGTTGGATTTTGAGTTCCAATTAATTTCGCCTGATATAAATGTTGTTAACTAAGTAACAGTATGAGTTTTTGTTATACATTTGTTTTCAACTTCAATGCCCACGATTTCATTAGACCACAAATGAGATTTTGCTGCTGTCATTATTGTAGATGAAAAATGCAAACTTGTCATATGAAGGTGAAGTCTATCAAGTTTGGACTAGCCCAAATGACTATAATAATTTTTTTTCAAACAATCAACATTCAGTCTCATTCACATCATTGCAACTAAGAAAGTGGTTTTGATCATTACTTGTACTTTCCAAACCATCCAATGAACTGCTCGAAATAACAAGTGAATGTTTTTGGTATAATCCCACTTTCGTTAACCTAACAATAGAATCAAGCTCGTGATTTATTCATCACGTTAAACACACAAAATGACGATTTGCATTTTAGCAAGAGAACGAAATCATTTCAAAATTGATATACAGTTTGTATTAATTGGGTGAAAATCAATGATCCTTTTGATGGAAATTGTAAACTTGAATTATTTGGACCCCAGTACTCATCTTGTACTTAAAAATATGCCAGCGTTTTCGAATAGTTAGATGTCACGAAAACAAAGATTTCAAAATTGATGAAAAAAATGAAATAATCTTTCAAGTAGTACTGGTAGGGAGTGAAACTGCAGGATGATTCAATCAATTCAAAGATAATTTAGCACATTCACTAAAATAGTGTTTGCTTTCAATTGATTCAAGATTCCTTCAGTATTCAGAAAAACCATACGTCCTTGAAATTCTAAAGAACAAAGGCAATGTTTTATCAAAAATATCTATGGAAAGGTCCTCAATTCAATAAAATATCGAGTAGGTCGAGTCTATACACTAAACTCATATTATTACTTTGTTTGTGAAAATTAACTAAATCATACTTGTATGACTTCGTAATGGGGAGTCATTTTAAATTTCCCATTACTTTCCTTGTTTCATTTTTGATTTCAACCCACTTTTTATGATACTGTTCAACAAATCACTGTTATGAATTTGAATAGGCAATAAAATTGTAACTCGAATACTCAACGAACTTCCGCAATTACACAGTGACTGGAGTTTGAAAAATATGTAAGTTGTGGGGTTTTCAAGGTAAATTTTGGTTCTGATTTTGATATGAAATCCCATTACATTATCAGTAGATTCGTGATGCACTGTTTGGAACCTTTGATGTAGTAATTAATATCAGTGGAATTTTATCCCAACACCAAGCCGTCATTTTTAACACCTCGACACGTGTTTTAATCACCAAGTGATAATCTTCAAGAGGAAGACTAATTAAACCAATCATGTATTCGAACTTCAATTCAAATTTTCTATCTGAAATTGAAACTTCAAATCATCTAAGAAGTGGAATTGATACACTTCCATATTCACAAAACTGAAAATTTCACCAATTCGCATTTGCAAGTTTGTATCAACAAACAGACAACTAGGTTGATTTCGAAACTTTTTGGAAATATATACCAAACACCTAGGAAGAAATTTTCAAAACAAACTGAATGTTGGTGTTCAACAAATTATGAATACGATGTGTTCAGTCCAGCTATGATATACATTATTTTCATAACAGAATTCTGCATTGGGTGAAGTTGTAAGTATGTTTGAATAACCAACAAGAGTAAAGCCTTGGTAGATAATAACATTATCCTGAGGTGGATTAAAGGATACGACAGGAGTAAAGGTAATCGCATTGCCGAATCTTTAGGCAAGGAAGCGGCTGGACTGAGAATTTTAGGACCCAGTGGCACCTACGGCCCGATGACTTCGACAATTGCGAAACTATAGCCAAACGGCACACCCGTACTCAATCCCTAAAGAGATGTGATGAAATGATGAGATGCAATCTTGCCAGGATCACCCTTGACGACCCTGGGAAGCTGGCGCCGAAGAAATATCTGGCTATGACCAGGAAAAATCTACACTTAACAGTAGAATTTCAGACTGGCCACTGTCAACTAAGGAAACACCTCCACAATATGGGGCTAGTAGACACACCTCTATGCAGAATGTGTGAACAGGAAGATGAAATTGTCAGGAATGCCCTAAGCGAATGTCTGGAGTTATCGTCAATAAGAGAGTCTGTGTCCGGCAAGTCTTGGCCTACACCTGCCGATATAAAGGAGATGTCTCCCAGAGACCTGTCCACCTTCCTGGAAAAAACAGGATGGACGATGACCTAGGAGGACAGCTACTTGGGAGGATTTACAATGGTTCACATGTGGCCTAAGTGGTGTGGGCCTACACTCACCCTCCCTTCTGTACAGATACAGATACCTACAAGAGTATCTATTCAAATGCTCTTGCTAAGATTCATCTAAAAGGTCAATTTTCAGAATCATAAACAATTGGAAAATATGTTAATAGATCTACACATCTTTGAGAGCTTCACACATTCTTCTGCATAAAGATGGAGAAGGTATTGGAATCAGATTTTTTATAGAAAGTACCAAAAGGTCATTTGAAATAAATGATGACGCAGCGCCCTGTAGATGTTATATGATAATCGATACGAAATTATGATCTTCCACGTCAAAAAACCCCGGGTCCCAAATTTTGAGCAAATAACTTATTTTTTGCGAAATATTTTTTTTTAAAACGAACAAAAATATTCAATTCCAATACTTTGGATGTCCGAAACGAAGCATTTCTGGACACAAATTTAAAAAGATTTTTTTTTCCAAAATTGTCTCAGGAATACGTCATTTGAATATTTTAACGTACTCATGTTACACCCTGACCAACTCTTCCCTTGCTACTCATGGGAACATACATGAATGAAACAACAGAAACAAAATCCAATCCCGAGGCTGGACAGAAGTGCTCACCTCAATCCAAGACGGTGGCTGTGGATGAACAGGAATATTCACCCCAATCTACCGCTTGGAATGGGAATCAGCAAGAACACTTCCTGCAGCGGGAGCCAAGAGCTTTGCCTTGAATGAAGGCGAGGAAACGAATGTCCCTGCAGGAAAGCTTCCTCACTTGTGCACCTCCACGGAAGAAACCCCCAAGAAGGTTGAAGAAGCCGCTCAACGACAGTAATATCGCTGCAACTTCCAAAACCTTCGCGGAAGCCACGGGGAGACACCTCAAGGTTGCCAAAGTGAGTGTGTTCGGCGAGTCTTGGCCTACACCTGCCAATAAGGAGATGTATCCTAGTGACCTGCTCACCTTCCTGGAAAGGACAGGATGAACGATGACCTAGGAGGACAACTCCTCAGGAGGATGTACAATGGGTTACATGTGGTCTAAGTGATGTTTGTGTACACTCACTCTCCCTACTCTACAGATACCATATACATCTTCATAAGAAGCTACCACGAGGTAGCTAAAGCTGACTTGTGGTTACTTTAGTGATATCTCTAATTCTCTAACACTGATCATCAGTGTTCTCTTGGAACTGAACAGAGCAAGAACACATCCAGTGACGAGGCTTGGGGTCCTGTCATCGAGTCATATAACTTCAGTTTCAAATCAGAAGCCGAAACGTCGAACACATGAAAACTACAGACGCGGTTCAACCAGAACTACAGTACCTACACCAAATTGACGAGCGTGGAAACCTATCTGAAAGTGAAATATTAACAGGTTTGTAATAATTGATGAAGAAAGGACCATGATATCAATAATGCTCCTACTAATATCCATTCACATTGTTCACTTGTTATCTTGAGCAGTTCATAACATAAATGACCTGAAACATCGATACCCTGAGTGACTGATATTTTTCCAATGCCCCTGATCATCCAACTCCTCAATATAAATCTCTGTTCAGTCTTAACTGGAAGATAAAATATTCGAATCTTGATATGATATACCTATATTGCACTGGGTTCCAGATAAGTCTTCTTCCTCTTCATCGTCGGCGAACTTTATGTCTTCCAAATATTCGCCTTCCAAGCTAGGCGACTTCTCCACCTTTGTTTCCTTCTCCATGTCCCGATTCGATGATTTCGGAGATGTTCTCAATTTTTTTGGGAACTCATGTAGTTGTATAGTAACAACCTTTGAATTAACTAAAGGTTCTACTTCATGGATGAACTTATTATCTACATCATTATCTTGCGTGAGCAAAGGATGAACTCTTTTATTTCTTGCGTTTAAGATCGGTGAACTTTTTGAAGTGCTCTCGCTCAGAGATCGGCTCCGAAGTTTCGGTAGTAGTGTTTCTTCTTCAGGCGATTCTTTGTTGCTTCCTGGGTCAATATATACTTGTGGTCTGATGTCTTCCATTTCGTGGAATTCTCCTTTATCATCCGGTAAAATTTCGCCTGATTCATCTAGAGGTGGTATCCACACTAGGAATGCAGGATCCATTCCTAAAAGTGAAAGCATATGAGGACGCTAAAGTAGCTATATCAGCAGACGATATACAAAATATTGTTGTGAAACATTTTATAGGTGTTGTTTATATAATATATTCCGGAAATTATTCTGAAAACCAGTTCAAATAGTACAAATGTCTTCATCTCAATTAGAAATTTTTTAATCGTCCATTTAGGGATATTCTCAATGACTTTTCTGATGACGGTAATGAAAAATCTTTGGAATTGATGATCTACCTTTTACTTATCAAACTGATCAATATGTTCGTTGAATCGGAGTTTCAGATATTGCAGAACTTCTAAAGTTTTCCTGTGTATAAACAACTTTATGAAAAGATATGTAGGCAAAGCTATAACAATATTTTTAAAATAATTGATTTTTCAATTATAGTATGCTCACAACATGGAGTTAACAACGGAAAAAAGATCTGAAACAGATTTTTTTACAGATCTAGGCCGAATGCGCGAATTTTCAACTACACCTGTGAAAAGTTTTTAGCATAAGATATTAAAAAAATGTATTCGAAAAGTTGAAACAGGTTTCAGTTTTTCAGTATCGAACTATCTGTAAAGTATAAAAAAACAATTCATGTACATAACATCTTACAAGTTCATATGTAGATTTGATTGATGTATTTTTCTGATACCATCAACGGACACATTGATTAATATTGTTTCTACTTCACATTCCATAACTAAACATTGACTTTGTGAAGAAATAACTTTCCACAGAAAGAACTCATTGAATTATCCATGAATATCATCTAGCGTACCTCAGGAATCCATTTTGGGCCTTATCTTAGTTACTTTATATACAGCTGCTAGAGAAACTATTCTTTAATGGGACACCCAACATTTTTGAGCAGATGATACCCAGTTACACTTGCTGATGAAATCAAAACTGCTACCGTGGAAGTAAACGACTATATTTGTATTATTTTTGACCGATAAAAATAAGTATTGATGATGAGAAAATAGTTAATGTGTAGAAATAGAATCTTCAGCCAGTCTTGAAATATAAATATCCATTACAATGGATATATTAACATCGCGTCAATATTTCAAAAAGATAGTATGTGGTTCTTGTGTTTTTCAAAATTCACTATGGCCATGAAGTGAATTTTCTCAAGTGATGTCAACAGAATATGAATTGTGCAGAATTTCTGCATGCGACCCTTACGTGATGTGGGATGTAAAATATTTTTCCTCAAAAGGGAAATTATTTGGCCCAACATGTCCAAAAGACGACATCTAAACTCTAAAAAAAATGTTACACGAAATGAAAAAAATTGAGAAACACATAAATACCAGCTCTCAACATTGAATCATCAACATCGTACTGAAAATTCAAGCGATGATACCTTCTACCAAGTACCGAAAATTTATGTGAGAAAAAATGCGTCGAAAATATTATTTCTTCTCATAAATTTCCATATAATGTCAATAGAACCACTGATGATGTCATTTAATGACTTCAAGAAGAATTATAAATCACCTAAATACGATCCAGGGGCAGCTCCAGCATTCACAACGTTATAATCATAGTAATCTAATTCCAAGTCCAAGTCTTGGTTAGCTATAGAAAATTCTGATCCACCAGGTCCAGCCAACAGTTTTTCCCGATTTCGCTTCTCTTTCTTTTCTTTGGCGTTAGTGCTCCTTATCGTTGCTCGACTGATCATACTTGCGGCTGATGAATAACATCCCTAAAATTTATTTTTTATTAGGAAGCTCGACTAACTGTTTAATAAAAAATGAAGTCTCAGCTCTCGGAGAGATATTGGTCAGTAAATACGTTATATTCATTTTCGATCTATGTAAGAACCTTTAATAATATCGCTGACAGTTGAGACTTCAAGAAATGGTACCACCAAAAGTGCTCAGGTGAACGAAATAGAAATGGAAACATAAGCGTGTACAGTGAATAGTTGTTAGCTCAATTCTATATGTTTCAGTTATAAATATTTCAACTAGTGTACTCATATACAGCATATGCCGATGTTGGGATTTGTGTTTGTTGAAGAATGTCTCTGATTTCAATGGCGTACATATTCCTCTTCCGAAGTCGTCTCATGACTAAGGATTATTACAGTAAAACTCAGAAACTTGTCTCTTCAAAAAAGTTAGGATTCATACCAAAAATTTTCCATGTTACCAATATAATAGTCCAATACTTTTCATTGTTTTGATTTCTAGCTTTGAAGGGAACTTCGAAAGATCGAAACAAAGCCCAATTTTTGACCATTCTTCAATTTTGAGAAGATCTTCGTCGACTAAGTCTATTATTCGACATTTTAGAATTATTTTGCAGTCGACTGAATTCACTCTCAAGACTGAACATTTTACAAAGTGAAGCTTTTCATAAATTGTCGATTTTTTCAAAATCCTTTTTTATATTTACAGCAAAAAAATTTAACTCTGAATATCAGTTCTCAGATAAATTGTCAGGACAGACAATTCCGCTTTCTGCTTCAATAAGTTTGTTGAGGGTTTAAATGGACACCAATATGTTTTGGCACAATCATGTTTCAGGAAAGCTTGAAACAATCTTCCAAACCAGAAAACTGTACAAACCTCATCAACTTTAGATGCAGACCTTCTTTGGAGTATTGTTCTTATGTATGGAACTCCGACTCTGCATACCCTGCAACTGCTGGATTCCATCCATTGTAGTTAGTTATTTTCTCTTAGAAGTTTCCTAGATTTGTTTGTTGCATGATGGAAAATTAGAAATCCAAAAAGTTTCTTATCAAAAATTGAACTCTCCTAGAATCATTCCGTTTTCATTTTAAGTGATTTCTCTCAAAACACTTCTCAGGTCCATCCATAGCACACTTTTTAATAGTAGTGAAAGTTATTGGACTATATAGAAGTTCCAGGGGTCTAAGACGATCAAAAGATTCAGAAAAGAACATGAAGTACTGGAAAATGACAAATTCTCTTGGATACGCAAATCAATCGAGACATTTTTCATTGTGGAAGTGCTGATGTGCGTCAAAAGAAAACTGAAGCAGAAAGGTACTACACCGGATCACTTTTGGAGCATATTTCTGACATCGGGCTCACATTGGTCAATGTGAAATTACTGACGTTACTGAGCCTTCTTGTCGCTTCCTTTGTGGTGTCTGGTCTGTCTTTTTCGGTTGATTTGTCTTTTTCGCTGGTCATAGTCGACGATCTTCTCAAAGTGGGATGGTCAGCGCTGTGAGGAGAAGTTGGTAAACTTGACGAGGAGGTTACTTCTTCTGTTTCGTGGTCTTTGTGGGATGTCGATGGCGACGCAGCTTGTTGGGTAAGAGTAGTGGTGCTGCCCAAACTCAAGGACTCCTCTTCTTTCCTGTGGGCAGAAAAAACATATAGAATTCAGCAGAAAAAATAACCCATTTTATTGTTGGCCATCGTGTGACAGAAGAGTAGAATGTGACGTTTTTCAGCATATTCAAAATTCCTGGCACATTCTGTGTGTATTTTTCGAGACGTTGATTGGGATTCATAGCCCCAGAGAAAAAGTATTATGGAAACATCAGTATGAAGCCATTCATCACTTTCAGAACTGAAAACCGGCAGTTCTTTTACATATACAGAACAAACATGTTTACCGACATCATTACTTTGACATTCAAATAATAATAACGAAATTTCAAAATCGAAAAGTCAAATATTCTATTTATTGGGAATCACACGTTAAAAGGTAAGACCCCGTTAGTCCTTAGCTCGCACAAGTTTCTCAACTTCTGAGAGTTGTCGTTCGTATGGGGGCGACAGCTGATTAACGGAGAAACATATTTTAAACAGATTTTTAAACAGATTGGTATCAAAGTTCGTAACAATATTATTCATTGGTGAATTGTTGAAAGCAAAATTCCATAATACGTCAGGAGGTTTCAAAATAGTTGAACATATGTCATTACTTGATATATTATGTATTCAAGAAACATTTGTATATGGAATATTCACGTAACAGTTTCATGAAAACGCAACACCTGTTTCGCTGGACAATGGCTTCTTCAGGCGTGTCTATACAGAAGTACAGTAGCTTCTTCAGGTTCAAGATAGTTCAACATATGTAAGCAAGAAATACTTTATTGTGAGATTTCCACTGAACAGTTTTACAAAAACAAAACACGTGTTTTGCTATACAGTAGTTTCTTCATGCATTTCAATACAGGATTACAATAGCTCCTTCAGGCGTGTCTATACAGGATTACAATAGCTCCTCCATGCCTGTCTATACAGGATCACAATAGCTTCTACAGGCGTGTTTATACAGGGGTAAAATAGCTTCTTCAGGTTACTTGAAATGGTATGTATTCAAGAAACATTTCCTTGTAAGACTCACACTAAACGGTTTCACAAAATCACAACACGTGTTTCGCTATACAACAGGTCACAACAGGTCCTTCATGCATGTCTATACAGGATCAATATAGCTTTTTCAGGCGTGTTTACACAGAAGTCTATGACTCCTTCAGGTTTGAAAATTAATTCAACATATGTCGTTACTTGATTTGGTGAGTATTCAAGAAACACCTCATTGTGAGATTTCCACTAGACAATTTCATGAAAACGCAACACGCTTCACAATAGCTTCTGCATGCCTGTCTATACAGGATTACAGGCGTGTCTATACAGGATTACAATAGCTTATCCATGCCTGTCTATACAGAATTACAATAGCTCCTTCAGGCGTGTATTCAAGAAACAATTTATTGTGAAATTTACAGTAAACAGTTCCACAAAAACGCAACACGTGTTTCGTTTTATAATAAGTTCTTCATGCATGTACATATAGAATCAATATAGCTTCTTCAGGCGTATCTATACAGTAGTACAATGGCTTCTTCAGGTTTTAAGATAGTTCAACATATGTCGTTATTTGATATGGTGAAAATCAAAGATAAAGAAACATTTTATTGTGAGATTTCCACTAGACAACTTTACAAAAACGCAACACGTGTATCGCTATACAATAGCTCCTTGCCTATCTGTGAAGGATTACAATAGCTTCTTCGAGCATATCCATATAGGTTTAAAATATCTCCTACATGCCTGTCTATACAGAAAAATAATAGTTTCTTCAGGCGTGTGTATACAGGAGTAAAATAGCTTCTTCAGGTTCCAACATATGTCGTTACTCGGAATGGTATATATTCAAGAAACAATCTATTGTAAAATTTACACAAAACAGTTCTACAAAATCGCAACACGTGTTTCGCTATACAATAAGTTCTTTATGCATGTACATATAGAATCAATATAGCTTCTCCAGGCGTATCTATACAGTAGTGCAATGGCTTCTTCAGGTTTTAAGATAGTTCAACATATGTCGTTATTTGACATGGTGAAAATCAAAGATCAAGAAACATTTTATTGCAAGACGCAACACGTGTATCGCTATACAATAGCTTAATCACGCTTATCTATACAGGATTACAACTTCTTTAAACTTATCTTAACATGAGTACAATAGCTTTTTACGGCGTGTCTGTACAGAAGTGAAGACACGTCTGAAGAAACTATTTTATAACGAAACACGTGTTGCGTTTTCGTAAAACTGTTTAGTGAAAATTTTGACCAGAGAGTTTTTCGTATAAGTTATGGATTTTTATCAAGTATCGACCTTTTTCTTCACATAAGCTGTAATATGCTTATATGAGTATATAGATACAGTATGCTTATCTTGAGACGCAACTCAAATCCCTTTGGGTATGGCAGTGTAATGTAACTTGCGAATTATGGAAAATTTCACGGCAATCTCACAACCGCTCCTTGCTTTATTCATTTTGTGTTTGAAGAGTGAGGGTGGTGAATATGAGGGAGAATTCAGGATGGAGACAAAGTCGTGCTAATGACTTCGAGGACTGACTGTATATTCAAACAATTATCCAAGAAATTTTGACTGAATGAGTTTTCCGCGATTTGCAGCAAGTGCGGAAATTGTGGATTGAACATGTGTTTCAAAAGTGATATTACTGAACATTCCCTGCTGAATTTAAAATGTAATTATATTACAATTGTTGGACTGTCAGATGTTTGGTGCACATATATTTTAATTATGTCGCCATGAAAGACTCTGAAGTATGTTTGAATCAAAGTAAAGGGAGGCAATTGTAGGAATGATACCACTGTGTGAGTTGTTCTTGAATTTTGCTCCTGGAATAAAACATAAATTTTGAAATGTGGAATGATCGTGGAAAGTTGCTTCTTCTGCACATTCCCAAGTGGAAATAAACCACAACTTTTAGTATTTCACGTTATATGTCCGGTAGGACTTTGTTTATGATATTTTATGAATGTGTTTCATTAGGCAGTTTGATATAATACTATGAAGTTTGGTTGAGCAAAATTTAAACAAAATATATGAATAACAAACAAAGATTGAACACCTGGATGGCAAGAATATTCATGGACTTCTGGCAGAATCTTCCAGGATTGGCTTACTCCAAGGCGATTATTTACCTTTCGAAGCTTGATACCAAACAGTTGTTGGACTACTTAAGGATGAATTAAGATGTCTAACAGGTCTTCTCACAGGTCACTGTCATTTGAATCATCATATACAGAGACTCGGACTGTTAAAAGACAGTGAGTGTCGCTTATGTTTGGAAAATGATGAAACAGCAGAGCATATAGTTTGTGCTTGCTCCGCTGAGGATCGAATCAGGTTTTTAGAGTTCGGCAGAGCCGTATTCTCACCATCTGACCTGAAAGACTACTCATAACTCAAACTAATCGTTGTGAGCCACAATAAACCCTTGCGGGTTGCGATTTAGGGTCGAATAGACCCACTCACTTCGGACCTAATCTAACCTAACAGTCTATCCAATAGTTTTTTCATATTTTTATTCACAAAAATCAATAGATACATATAAGAACCAATGGAATGAAAAACACCAATTATAGTTGAGCAGGTGGATGTTCAAATTTAGCCGGCTACGTACATTTGATTAGCAATTTTTTAACTTTTTTGTGTTGGTGTACTCATCTCTAACATATGCTCATAATTTCAGCTTACTGGTTTTTTTATTATCGTTCGTACTTGTTCGTAACTTTTTGAACAGAAACAACACCGTATTCACCTGCCACCGTATCCACTAGATTTGCCACCCTGCGTTTTTTGTGTTCGGAAGTTGCGCTGTACGGATTTATATTTCCTTCATATTTCCAAATGGATTGTTAACCTAAAGGCTGGATATAGTGTCAGTAGTTTCTTTGATCAGTAGGGTTATACCTAGTAATTTTATGATGGCATAAATTATACAAGGGATCATTTCTTTATCAGCGTTCAAATATCATACCATATCATCATATCAATTATTTGGAAATATTTGAATTTCGCTTTCCGAAACAATGATTTCATATGTTGAAAAAATCCTTCAAGAAATCGATACTCAAGTATGTCACCTCAAATCAATATGTTATATTGAATATTTAGGTATTTTGAAAACGACTCATGGCTCTACTTGCTCTTCAAAAGTGCAAACTGGGGTGCAATGTCCACATATAAAAGACTCAAAAGTTTCGACCACATGGTCAAACTAAGCGTCATTGGGTCAATCAAAAATTATCGACTGGACTCCTGGGTTTATGAGGATCAAATCATGAGGTGCAGTTATGTATCTTCATCAAGTAACGGTAGGACTATACACATCCGTCTTGCAGAGTGCAAGGCTTATTAAATTGAGACCTCAAAGAAATGGCAGCAAGACAGCACAAGAGCGCAAGAGCGCACTAGGGGCTCTGACAAACCCGAAGGTGACATCAAAACTGGTCTGGAAATGCCATGAAAAACTGAATGAACTTGCAAACAGGAACAAATTGACTTTGTTCTGGGTGCCAGGGCATTCAGGAATCACCGGTAATGATAAAACTGATGAATGCGCTAGACACGGATCATCAACTTCATATATAGGTCCTGAACCAGCTCTGGGGGTACCAAAATCATTGGTACGAAACCAGATTAGGACATGTACCAATAAGAAGCACACAGAGTACTGGACAAAAGTACCTGGCAACAAAAGCAGTCGAACCTTCATTAGGGAACCGTTCGAGAAAAGAACCGAAGAACTACTTCAATATAGTAGGGATCTGCTTAGAATAATTACAGGGTTACTAACCAATGAGTGTCCGCTTAGAAGACACCTGAATGAAATGGGACTGTAAAACGGAGACCCCCGCTGCAGATTATGCAACGAAGGCATAGAAACAGCTCTACACATCTTATGCAAATGTGAGGCACTGAATCACAGGAGGCAGACAATACAAGGACGTACAAAATTACGTCCAGAAGAATATGACTAACATCCAACACGGAATCAGAACAAACTAGTACAAGGA